TAGCGTTTCCAACTATTTTATAAGCACCTAATTGCCTATTTTAAATACCTTCCTGCTTCAAGTACCCAGAGTGGTTTCTGTTTTTCGAACTGAAGCCTGACTGAAATATCCCATCTCCTAATTTATATAAACCTGTGGTCAGGTGTCCACTTAAGAAAAAGACAAGTCTAGTTTAGATGATCAGTACCAGATCCCCAACTCATAAATTGTAAACTGATTTTAACCCCCAGAGTAGCCCCTTTATGTGATTTCTTTTTCTTCCCCTAGGTCTTAGAGAATTCTATATTAAGAATTATATTACAGAGGCCAGATCTAAACAATACAACACTAATATCAAACGATGTTCCAAGTGATATCTGGAGGATGGCTACCTCCACATATGTCCATCCTTAATATTTTCAGCTCCCTTTCATTTTATTTCCCTTCAATTACTTATGTGTATGTTTAATTTATGGTTTTGTTCATTCTTTTAATGGCAGGGACTTTTTGCTTGTTTGTTCCCTAGCACCTAGGGACTATTCAAAGATTTTGGCTAAATTACATGTAAAAGTAAATTTGTGGGTTCCCATTTGCCTTGATGGAGTAAACATCGACTCACACACTTTGAATTTAAGTTCACTTTAGCACACATAAGCAGATTTTCAAGTCTCTTAGGTTCTCCATTTTGATTAGCAGTTCCATTGCATTCCAGAAATTCCTTCTCTTATCGATGATGGGTTTACAGTTACACATTTCACACCTGCCTCAATCTCATAGATTTTACATGGTCTCCCCTAGGTGATCCTTACGTACACTAAAGCTTGAGAACCACTGCAATAAACAGAAACAGAGCTCGTTTTATTTGAAATCCCTATGCAAGGAGTAAAACCCAATGAATCCAAAGACTTGGGGTTCTTTCCATGATTCACATCTGGGAAGTGATGTATAGAATGACAGAATTTTGGAGCTGAAAAGATCCTTACAGATCATTTAAGCTTATCATTTAGGAGATCAGAAATCTATGAATTCTAGAATTTCATAGATAGTTTAGGACAGAACAGAACAGAACTCAGAACCTAGGTATTCTGCATTTCAATCTTGTGCTTTCTTTAAGATGGTTGTCATTACATTTGGGTGAGTGGTGAACTGAACGACTCTACGTGTGCCAATCGTACTGTGAACGTGCATATGTGTTAGGAAGTTGTCTGACAAGTAGTAGTAAAGTTCTAACAAAAGTTCTAATACAAAATGTATTAGATGCTTTCCAATAGATGCAGGTAAAGTGTCTTGAGGAAGGGACAGTGTTTTCTAATATGTACAAAGATGTAACATGGACTTCTGACAGGTGCCACCCCCTTTTCTTCAATACGACCTTACGACTAACAAAGAATGTGTAAGTGCTAATCTCAGTAACAAATACGATACAGATGCAGCTTTTGGAAATTTGAATTATGTAAACTTGAAGTGGCTAATACAGAAAAATTTTTTATAAAGTTGCAACTCTCTAAAAAGCTGGCAAGAACTGCAAATTCCAAAATTGGCTGATCCAGTAAATTGCAAACCATGTTCATGGATTGACAGGCAGAGGTACTGCATTATATATTTAACATGACCCACCCTCTTATTCACGTGTACCAGAATCTTCCCATGTGATTTTAGTGACCATTGTCCTATTGTTTGCACCATAAACCTTTAGCTCAGAAGTTATATATAATAAAATACTCTGAACCCATAACCACTGCCATTAAAACTTTACCATCTATTAATTTAGGAGAGAGCACACTCTAAAAGGCACTAGAGAGAATGATGTAAAAATAGATAGAGGATTAGGGCCAAAAAGAAAAAAAAAAAAAAACCCTACAGCAACAGCATCTCCCATCCTAATGTTTACTCCTCTGTGAAAAGCAGTCTTACATTATGAGTATTGTAAATTATGTGACGTGTTCAGGAGAGCATCCCTCACAAAATGCATCTTCTCTTAAAGCTCCTTCATGTCTTTAAGTGATTCTAACCCCAACTCCTATGCCTGAAAGACAGTGTGTAAAGTTGGAAAGAGCTCTAGGAGTTTCCAATTTAAGCTCACATTTAGTGGTCCACCAAGGGGATAGAATTCTCTGGTAAACATCCCAGAAAACAGATCTCTTTTTGTGTGTGTTTAAATTCTTTTTAGTATGCCGTGAGATGCATCACTGTGTAGAACAACGCTCTGGTTATTTTCACTCCAGGTTCTAACAGGGCTTGTGTTTGTCGTTAAGTCACCTTCATGAATGCCTTCCTGGGGCTTGCCTTCATTATGCCTAGTCAATCACATAAAAGAGGGCCAAGCATTCTTATTGCCCCCACTCCCTGAATGATTAGGGAATTGATGAGCTAATAAGAACAAAACACTCTCAACCTCCTACAGTTAGTCTACAAGCACGGGGCATGGCATGCCTTGTAGTCCATGTGGGGCAGCACCAGATGAAAAGAGCTGCACCCCCCCCATGCCTCCCTGGTCCCCCCACTGCTTGATGCTGCTGCTGCTGGGCTCTCCCAGGCCCTGATCCTGGGCCATCCAAACTCAGGGTGCCAGGGCAGCAGGGGCATCGAAATTGCTAAATTTTGATTGTCAACATTTATATAAAGCATCAAAGTGCTAACTGTGAAGGAAATTAGAGTTTTGTTCAAGGCTTACATTTGTTCTATGGATAAGTACTGTTTTTATTTGGAATTACACAAATGGAGGCATAATCATTTCAGTGCTTAGGGCTTCTAACAGTTACATTATGGCCTCAAGTCTACCAGTCACTTAAAAAATAATGTCACCAAGAAACTTCAGTTTACTTCCGAAAAATTCTTTCTTTCCAAGCAGGCAGTCTTCACGAAGGTCTAAACTCTCTCACCCATATAGATTTAACAGAACACCTTGGACAGTGCTACAAATCTAAGGAGAAAATGAAATCTTGCTTGGCTCGGGAGTAGCCCATGCTTTGAGTCAAGGGCTGGTCTGGAAAGGTCTAGATCAAATTTTTAGAACCATCATCACAATGACTTGCAGATAAACTCGGGGTCCTAGGATTTGAATAGGAACATTCTTTCCTTGTTTTTTTTCCCCAACTAAGAGATGGGTTTGCTGTGTTCTTGGTGAGCCCTGTGATGCCTGGCACTTGTCATCTGCAAATATACATGACTCCTCTACTCTTGCACCAGTGCTAAGATATGTGTGTGCATTAAAAAAAAAAAGCTATATATTTCCACCCCAAGTCTCCATAGTTGGATCCCCTCCAGACACCATTCTGAACATGACACTCTGCTGCAGGGTACTAAAAATGGTGCTTTGCTCAAAATAAAACCTTTAAAGATCCCTTAGTAGCTATTCAGGGATGGGAATTCAATCTCAATTCTCCACCCTTTGCCCGGCTGTAGATTCAAAATGCTTACATAAAACACTGAGAGTATGTACTTCCTGGCATATCTGATTTTTCTTCTGCAATAGAAACATGTGCTATAGTTACCGCAGACTCTATTTTTACTTAGAAAATACACAAGGTAATAATGCACCTCCAACAATAGAAAACAGATCCTCTTTTTAAATTTTATTTTATAGGTAGCTTTGGTATAAGCTTCATATAGACCCACTTATTACACAGTTTGTGAAATCTATACCTTCAATTCATACTACTCTCTATTTTAGGCCATTATATCTAAAAGCATGACTTCTCAAATCCTTTTATTACAAGTAGTTCTTGCACATAAATGTTACACCACAATAGCAAAAAAAAATGTAAACTTCTTTTGCAAACTACATAAATACTATAATATCTGCCTTAAAGTTATTCTCATTTTAGAATCAGAAGATACTCTATATGCTTTACATAGAAAACTCTGGTCAGTAGCCTACGTATATAAAAAAATTTTTTTTTCTTACTGACTTGCCTTTCATGTTGCCTACTTAGGTCTTTGAAGGAGAAAACTTTTAAATAGAACCCAGATCAAAATTCAATACACAAGTAAAACAAGTAGTGGAAACATGTCAATAATTGTGGGTAAAATATGAGGTGTGAAAATTATTCTAAATACTAAATCTGACAAGTCACCAGTGGCATGGAAGGAACTGGATAGAAAGACTCATTTAAGCTCATATTTGATCCTATATGCAAGGAACTCAGCCCGCATGCTAATATACTTTTTTACCCTGCTGAATGTCTGTTTTCAAACAAATCACCTCTTTCTATTTTAGAGCACAACAGGTCATTTCTACAACTGTAGTCCTAGACTGGAAAGTCTGGGTGGTCAGTGAATTTATTTCACCATCACTGTCTGTGATGTCTTTAAATTCAAATTCTAAGTGTGTAAATATACAGGTGTGTATACACACGCACGCACACTGAGAAGACCACACCAAAGCCTCTTTTTCTTTTTCCTGCAAGAAGAGTTTTTAATGTTTACCTTTTTTGTTATTACTTCAAAGTAAATCTTTTTACTCAGAATGTTCTTTCAGTTAAAAATCAAGTTAATTAATCTGGAGCCCTGACTGATTTGTTATTCTGAGATTCCTATTGAACACCTAGCTACTGGCCATGATTTGTTTGAGGAGAAAAACATCACTGCTGAAGCATTTTTTAAAATTTCAAATGCATGCAGAAAGAACTACATAGGTTTTCCAAGCAGCTACATAAGGTGGCTCAAGTAACATTTTTATTTATTTTGGCCTAAGCCCTTTAACAGCATCCTTTGGAAACACAAAGAGAATGGCTACAAGATGGTGGCAGAGCCCAGGATGCATGGCCTGGTGGGCGATGCTCCAAGGGGTTCACAGGATGTCAGGCAGGAATCCACCGCGCTGCCTTCCCTCTTTCTGTGTGTTTTCTCTAAATGCATTGTGTCCTCTCTTTCCTGCCCATGCTTTTAAATCATGAAAAACAATTTTTAAAAAAATTTCCCAATGATTCATTCAGAGCTCAAATAACACTGTACGTGGGCTTAGTTGGAGACAGGTAACCATTCTGAACAGTTCTCCCAGAGGAAGGCTGCGCCAGGCAGAGGGGCATTGAAGCCTAGGAGCTGCTCTTGTTGCAGACCTGGCCTCGGTTGCTATTATCCTCCATATACTGGCTGGCCCCCGTGTCGCTCTGGCTGAGGACCACGGAGGGGATGTGGGAGGTCCGCCTCTCTGGGTTCTTCTCCTGCGAGAAGCAGTAGAGCATCCTCTTCATGGTGCTGTACATGTCTTCATCCTTGTAGGAGTAGATGATGGGGTTCATGACGGAGTTAAGCAGCGCCAGCAGCAGGAACCACCTTTTCACATGCTGCACGTTGCACCACGTGCAGTTCAGGCCGTCGAGCAGCAGAACCACCAGACCTGGTGTCCAGCACACGACAAAGGCCCCTGGAGGGAGAGAGAGGAAGCAACAGGCACTCAGACCTCAGGCTAATTATTTGGGTTTCTTCTCGCCCGGTCTTCCGTCAGTGGTGTCAAGGGACCTTGAGGATTTGTTCTGACAACTGCAAAGCAAACTTCCAGCCTTCCTCTGAGCATTTGAGACCGAGCTTCTTAGAAGCAAACAGACTCTTAACCATGTTCCACTTCACCTTCTTATCTGCTTACCCAGGTACCGTAATTAGGGGCTTACACTTATCTCTTACTTATTGAGCACAACACGGACCTTATTTCTGTTTGTTCTCAGAATCACACTAGGAGGCTGTGCAGTCATTATCCACACTCTGCAGGTGAGAAAACTGAGGCCAAATCCCAGGGTCTATGTGGGGAAGCCTCACACACTTAACCCTGCACTCTGCTGTTCTCCAAATCAGACGTTCCAAATGCTCTCCTGAAAATAAGATGCATTGCATCTATGGGAGTCTCCTAGTCTTTTAATCAAGTCACCTGCTCAAAAATTGTATTCTTTACAAATCCATGTTGCTGCTGAGTAAGCACTAAATTCTTTCTGACATAGTCATAGGCTATCTGCTTAATAATCTGTTCTAGGCTGAGATATTTTTGTCAGAAATAAATCTTTCATGATGAGATATAAATGTGCTTTTTGTTAGCACATTTATTTATTTAGCATAATTTTAGCACCAATGGCACATGAATGGGGTCTGTTCTGAGTCTCTACCTATATGATCGTACTTAGCTTACCTCAAACTTTCTGGTATGTTTTTCCTAAAATATGAGACACATGTTCAATATTTCCCTACTTAGTCATCGTAACATCAGATAACAATGACAGCTAACACATCAATGCTTCCCTTTATTAACTCATAGAACCACACTCTGAAATAGACATCATTATCATCCTCAGGAAACTGAGGCACAAGAGAAGTTCAATAACTTGCTTACAGGCCAATAGCTTGTAAGGGACATTGAAGTTTGAACCTAGGCAGTCTTCCTCCACACGCTGTACACTGGGCCACTATGGGACCTGCCTCCGTACTGGGACGTGGTTTCTTTCTCCCAAAGTCCTTCTGATTTCTGAAGGCCCTTACTTATCCACTGAACAAAATAGTCATTGTGAGGTTTCAATGTGCCAAGAACTGTACTAGACAGTGAATGAGGAGAAGACCATACGGTGCGGGAACAAAAGGGCTAATGGGAGAGATAGAACGAACAAGCGAGTCTGTGAACTGTATCACCAACTAGTTACTCTTCCTGGTTAGAGTCAGACCTGGACAGTATTCCTCTTGGTGCTTTATCTTCCTTCTGAGAGATATAATAATAAGCAGGTCAAGAATTATAAAGAGGCAGTATGAGGCCATGAAACTCCGTGAGCTATGGGGTCAGACAGCTACGCCCAGCCCCTCACCTTACACGCTGCTAGTGAGGCAAATTACTCTTCTGAGCCTTCATTCCCTTATTTAATAAGGATAGTGATCCCGACTTACGAAGTGGTTGTTAAGATTCAGAGGTAATGAAAAGTGGTGTCTAATACCATGTTGGGCTCACTCAGCAGTGGTTGTCATGAGATGCTTTGCCAAAGACATCTGCCAAAAGTAGATGTGCAGGAGTTCTCAGGGGGTTTCACTTCCCATTTCATAACTACAGCTCTCCAATGGCTCCCCTTTTTCTCCATCCTGTATTATTTTTGGTTTGGCTGACATATGTGAAGAAAGAAGTGAACTTAGAGATAAAATATCAGGGATCTGGGTCCTAATTCTTCACTTACTGTACAACTCTGGGAGATCCATGTCATCGGTCTGGGCTTCATCTTCCTGAACTGTAAATTGAGGATGTTAGGCAAGTTCTGGGTTTTTCAAACTGTGGGCCAAGGCACCTTAGTGAGTATGCAATCAATTTAATGAATTTGGAAAAGTTTCTTTTTTTTCTTTTTAATGAAAGAATGGAAATGCAAATGGAATGGAATAGCTCAGAGTATATTACACAGACCAAGAGAAGTATTGTTTCATGAAACTTTTGTTTCAGTTTTATATACTATATTTATGTGTGCATTGGTTATAAAATAAAATATTATTTTTGACTGTTGGGACTAGTCAAAAAGTTTGAAAAACACTAATTTAGACAACCTTTAAGGCTGCATCCAGCTCCAGTGGTCTGTATTTCCCATAGAAGTAACACTTTTGTTCTCTCTGCCATTTCTGAGACAGGGTTACTATGTTGTCAGGAGGGAAGAACTAAACAAAGCAGACATCAAAAGCTGTAGCTACCAACTTTGATGTGAAGAGTCCTTTCTGTGTGAGATTGCAGAATTCCAAAGAAATCCTAGTGGGAGTGTTCCAAGGTTTTTGTGTTAATGGGTAGGAGGGAGAAATATTGATAAACTTTATACTTAGTTAAATGCTCATGTCAAAATTTAATAGTGTACATAACTTCGAAACCAATGGAGGGGGTAGGATGCAAGTAAAGGAAAGGAAAAAAAAAGTCTCAATGCACAAGAAAGGAGGGAAACATAGAAAAATGGGATAAAGAAAAAATTAAGATGCTGGAAATGAATCCAGATAAGTTGATCCTTGAACAACACAGGGGTTAGGGGTGCTGACCCCTGCACAGTCGAAAATCCGTTTATAACTTTACATTTGGCCCTCGTATCTATGATTCCACATCTGTAGATACAACCAACCTCAGATCAGATTATGTAGCACTGTAGCATGTATTTACTGAAAAAAATCTGCACATAAATGGACCTGCTCAGTTCAAACCCCTGTTGTTCAAGGGTCAACGGTATACTAATAATCAAAATCAATGTTAATTGTATAGTTAAAAAAGTGAATCTAGGGGCTTCCCTGGTGGTGCAGTGGCTGAGAGTCTGCCTGCCAATGCAGGGGACATGGGTTCGAGCCCTGGTCTGGGAGGATCCCACATGCCACGGAGCAACTGGGCCCGTGAGCTACAACTACTGAGCCTGCGCGTCTGGAGCTTGTACTCCACAACAAGAGAGGCCGCGACAGTGAGAGGCCCGCGCACCGCGATGAAGAGTGGCCCCCGCTCGCCGCAGCTAGAGGAAGCCCACGCACAGAAACGAAGACCCAACACAGCCAAAAATAAATAAATTAATTAAATTTAAAAAAAAAAGTGAATCTAAATAATTTGATGTCTAACATTATAACCATATGTGATAAAACCATGAAGAAAAGCAAGATGATTAACATGAAATTTATAATATGGTTATTTCTACAGGAGAGAGGGGGCCACCAGGATAGGGCACAAAGGAGGTTCTAAAGACACTGAAAATGTTCTATTAAATTGGGTGGCAAGCACACAGGTGTTTTAAATTTTTAATATTCTTTTAGGTGTTATTCTTTAAACTGTACATATATCTTATATAATTTTGTTTGAACGATATATTTCACACACACACGTCAGAAAAAAGGATAAAAGTAAATTGCCAATATGTTTTCCTAAAGACTGTTTTTAAAATTGGATTTTTAAAAATCATTAAAGCTTTTTTCCTTAGCGTAAAACTCTAGTTTGGATTAATCAGGGGACCTAAACACTCTAAATAAATCCTCAAATTGATTCCCTGTTTGTCATAATGTGGTACCTCACATACATTTTCCTTTTGCGCTGAATTTCATAAAATAATTCATTCAGTCAACACTGACACACTTTTCACTGAGCAATGGCTATACACCAGGCACTGTTGTAAGCATTTTATATGAACTAACCATTTAATCCTCATAGCAACCCTTGGAAATAGGTATATATAAGTATATATATATATATATATACAAAACCCTTATTTATATATATAAAACCCTCATTTTAAACCTGAGGAAAGTGAACCACAGAGAAATTGGTAACCTGCTCAAAGCCATGATAAGTGGAAGGGCCAGGATTTGAACAGGCAGCCTGGCCCCAGGGCTTGTGCTCCTGTTCACATGCTAGGCTGCTCAGCAGTGAGCTGCAAAGGATATTATTTCTAAAGTAAGTGATGGGGAAGCGGGGAGGGTACTTCTGACCTTTAAAGTCCCGTTCATAGAATATCATACCTGACTGTGAAACTGCATACAGTATATCACAACCAAGTCATTCTTTGCTTTGCTAACAGAAAGAATTTCTGGCAAAGAAGGGAAGGAAGGGAGGGAGGGAGGAAGCAAAAACGATGAAGAAGGAAAGAAGGAAGGAAGGGAAGGGGAGGAAAGAAAGGAGAAAGAATTTCAACAAAAATACAGGTAAGAAGAGCAACAAAAATCTGCCGGCCTGAGGCTTCCCTGGTGGCGCAGTGGTTAAGAATCCACCTGCCAATGCAGGGGACACGGGTTCCAGCCCTGGTCCGGGAAGATCCCACATGCCGCGGAGCAACTAAGCCAGTGCGCCACAACTACTGAGCCTGCGCTCTAGAGCCCGTGGGCCACAACTTCTGAGCCCACGTGCCACAACTACGGAAGCCCGCGTGCCTAGAGCCCGTGCTCCACAACAAGAGAAGCCACCGCAGTGAGAAGCCCCAGCACCACAACTAAGAGCAGCCCCCACTCGCCGCAACTAGAGAAAGCCCGCGAGCAGCAAAGAAGACCCAATGTAGCCAAAAGTAAATAAATAAATAAAATTTATTTTTTAAAAAATCTGCTGACCTTTTTCTTTACACCGTTTCCAAGAACAACAAAAGGCCAGTCTCTGACAGAACAGCCGCCACACACTGCGCTGCTGATGGGTGCTTCAGCAGTGCTGTCTGAAGTGATGATTGCACTCTGAGCAGGAACCCTGGGAAACTGCAGCTCCCCAACTCCTCCACCGGCAGCCAAGCTCTACCTCCAAACACATCTCAGAGCGGGGGCACAGCTTATCTAAACAGCTCATTCCTTGGGGGCTTTTACTGTATGTCAGCAGCAGCAGATATGAGGTCCCCAAAAACATTTAAAAGAGAAGAAAATGTCAGGAATGGTTTTGGCCTTGGGAATCTGTCTTTTTGGAGAATTCTTGGAGAACGTGGG